TTAGSCTGCCTAGCCTCAAGCGCATAAAWTCTCAATGCTGTATCTCCGAAACTATTACTCGGATCARGRCAATATTCTGGAGTTATTGTAGAATTKAATAAAACACCTTGTATTTGAATATCCATATTTACTGAAAATATCAGGATACATTACCATGCAACCCTTACTTTCATTTGGTATTTAATATTTGCAATATCAAACGGTATTTCTTTTGCAACGCAACATAAAATCTGCAATACTTTGTTTTTCTGTCCACCACTTAAGAGCTAACTAATTATGGTGATTACATACAGACATAATATAAACTAATTACGTAGAACAATGAAATTATATGACTAGAAAGAAATAACGTAATGAATGTAGGAAATAAAAATTGTTTGTTGTAAATAGTTGTAGTGTTACCACGAGGAGGATATAGAATTATGTAGTTGGCATTCATTTCATTGTATGGTAAATGTTTGCCGGATTTCGATAAATTTTCTTTTTTTTTATATTTAAAAAAAAAATTGTGACATACATATATACACATGGAAACATATGTAAAGTTTGTAATTAATGCTAGTTAAAATACCTTTGCTGGGAAGTTGGTTGCACATAACACAAGATGTAAAAGTTTAGTATGAAATGACGCAGTGAATTTTCTCAGTACCGTCGGAGTGTGTTTGTCCGGCTACAGGAGCTGTCCACATATGGGTGCGTTTTTGTACCCTCAGCAGGGTATATTAAGTTTGTCACGAAGTTTGTAACACCCAGAAGGAAGCGTCGGAGACCCTATAAAGTATATATAGAGCTGAGTCGATTTAGCCATGTCCGTCTGTCTGTCTGTATATATCCGAACTAGTCCCTCAGTTTTCAAGATATCGTTTTGAAATTTTGCAGAGGTCATTTTCTCTTCAAGAAGCTGCTCATTAAAGCTTATATAAAAAACTTTCACATTTGACAAGATATTTCCACAAAAGTTGGCACAGGTTATTTCCTTAGGCAACAATGAAATCTCCAAAGAAATTGTTCAGATCGGTTTACTATTTGATATGAGTTTACTATAGCATATAGCTGCCATACAAACTGAACATTGGGAATCAACTTTCACAYTTGACAATGTATTTTTACAAAAATTGTCACAGGTTATTTTCTAAAGCAACAATGTATTTATTTATTTAAAAGAGAACTAATTATAAATAATTAATCCACTTGTAAGAATCAGCACTGGCTGCCAGGGCCTTCGGAGCAATAATGTAATATTCGAAGAAACTGTTCAGATCGGTTTATTATAGCATATAGGTGCCATACAAATCAAGTTCTCCAAAAAATTGTTCAGAACGAATTACTATAGCATATAGTTTTCATACAAACGGAATACAAAGTTACTAACAGAAATGCACCTGTGAAGGGTATTTAGCTTCGGTGCAAGCGAAATTAACGTTTTTTCTTGTTAAAATGTATTTGTGGTGTCAGAAGCTGTAACACACAATTACATTTCTATTGAACTAATAAATGTCCTACCAATATTTTCCAGGAGTGAGTGAATTCCAATTATCCCATTAGTTTCCGTAGTCCACCGCAAACCATACTTATTAAACTACGTCAAAATACCAAAAATTAAATATTATTAAAAAATCAAAAACTATAAATGTGGGAGTGGAACCTGTGGGTTAAAAGTCCACACGTAACGGACGTGCCTTTTAAATGCACCTCTRACCAAAAACTACACTTAATTCGAACAACACTCGAACAATATTCGAACTGTGTAGTCGAGCACAGTTGAGTGACACAGTAGTTCTGAAGAAGTCAGGAAGGGCAGACCAGCGGCGTCGGCCCGATAAGTTAATCAAATTAAATTTAAATACGTTTTTATATTAAAATAAGTTGATATATGTGAACAAACTGAATTCAAATTTATTAAAATAAGTTATTCTAAGTGAACGTTTGAAATGAATAAATATAGTAAATAAAATCTACATAAATTGTACACAATTTTATTTATTAACATTATTTTATTTAATAAATTATAYAAAACACTAAATTAAACACTTTGAAAATGCATACATATATAAATGCCAAAAGGCAAAATCATTAATTAGTTTACATAATCACTTATTTTGCCTAAATATGATCGTACAGTTCAATGAAATTTCATTTCACACTAATTTCGTCAAGTAATTATAGCGCTGCTCGTCTGGCATTCCCGCCTTTTCTGAAATCAGCTGATCGAAATTCCCTGATCTCCTTCGCTGTCAAATAATCAGGGAACGCGTTTGAGAGAAAAATGAGAGCCAATGCCAGAGTCTCGTATCATATTATCCATGATATTGCGTTCAACAGTTWTAGCCATGTTAACATGGAGTTCACTACGCCGAAATTYGTGCTATTTTAAAGTTTTCCTTCGTTAAAGGCAAATCCACTAGAGAAGCGTTCCGTGAAGTTAATGGTATTTTGGGGGATGGTRCTCTATCACTTSGAACTGCGMTCGAATGGTTTCGACGATTCAGAGCGAGTGAAAACGACACCATAGGTAAGCCAGCCGGCGGAAGACCTGTGACGACGAATACCAATCAAATCATGGAAAACATTGAGTTAGACCGGCATGTGGCATCTCGCCCAAAAGATGTGAGTTAGTCACCAAACCATTTTAAACCACCTGCAGAAGGCTAGGTACACAAATAAGCTTGATGTTTGGTGCTGCATGATTTGGCGCAAAAAAACCTTCTAGACCTATTYCTGTCCATGGCGAAAGCCCTTGTTGGTGTAAAATTGAACTCCAAAAGAGGCTTGTGAAAAGCGGCTGTCCTAGTTCTTCGCAAATAAGGAGGGGGGCTTCTACGAGGGGGTATTATGAAGTTGCCGTCTAAATGGAAACAGATTATCGAACGAAACGGCGCCAATTTGAACTAAATCMGATCACAGTAACACTTTTTATAAAGCATTGAATAAAGAGCAAAAAAGTGTATTTGACAACCTAATAGTAATAGTAATTAAAAGTTCGATTTAGTTTATACTTACTACTTTGATCAAATTAAAAGGTGAACGAATTTTCGATATTAGTTGAAATGTGGCGAAAGGATCACGAATAACCAATGCAGTTTTTTTGTTCAATAAATTCAGACATACTAAAAATCGAAAAATTCGCTTTTAGAGCCTCACAAAACGACGCGTATCTTAAATACTAATGAATATTTTGACGTGAAATTCAGCATAGATAGAGAAATTTATAACAATACCACCAACTTACAGAAAAATTTACCGATTCGAAAAACACTTGGATTATAAATTAAAAATTCACCTTTCAATTCATCACAGTAGTATATCACATATCTTATAATATCAGAATTTCTATCAATAATTTAGCTTATTCATTTATATAGTATTTCACTTTTTTTTTTTTTTAATAAATGAACGAATTTCACAAGCAGCTGTCTAAATGCACAAGTCTGTCGTCTGTCACCATTAAATTTCAATGCGCATTAGCGTTGCTTAGTGCGCATTAATTTTGCTTGTCTGTCAGGGCTATTAGGCTATATTGCGAAACTAAATCTGAAAATATAACCGACCAAYGGGTTGTATCCGACGAAATAAGTTTTGCTAGTTCTTTCTACGTTTTTTGATATTGATATATCTTACTTTCAAATAAAAAGCCTAGTAAGGTGAGTTAGTAAGAAAAAAGATATATTGTAAAGATGATTGATTTTGATCGGCTAGCTGGATCCGTGGCCCAATAGCCAATAATCTATGCCAAATTACGAAGATATCATGAGAAATAAAACATTTTTTATACTAGTTTGCCAGCTGCTAATGTATATCCTAAAGAAGTCCGCCAAGTGAAAAATTTCAGATTAATATATAAATAAGCATATCACAATTTACCCTGTGATAGTAATTATATCATGAATATTGAGAATGTTGAGAGTTGTATTGATTTTAATACAAAAACCTCAGATATGAACCGAATTGAATGTACGATCATATCAGATATGACTGCATTCCATTGATAAGGTTGTCAAATAACGAATATTGAAAWATTTTGCAGCGTTGTTAGTATGAAGTTTTTCCAATAGTTGAAAGTATTTACCCTTGAAAACTACGAGAATATAAAAATAATAACTCCTTCCTACGTCGGGATTAAAAAAAAAATCTCAAAGATTTAACAATGCTTTGTTTAGTTTAAAGTTAAAATTTTGGCATTTATTTAGCAAAAATTGGGACAGAAATTGCGACGGGTTTATTCGTCCAYTTGTTCTTTAACGATCTCCAGTAGCAAAAATACAATACTCCGTGACGTCATGATCAATAGGAGGGAAAAACATATTTAAAATCGCTTTGAAAGTCTGACRGTTTTTTCGCATTTGATGTTTTTCCTCAGAAACTAGTATCTGTCATTCTCGGTTCGAATCTAATTTCTGTATCGTAAGCTAAACATATTCCGTTCTTTTCTTAAGGGAAGATTTGATTCTCCACTTAAAAACATAATATTTATTTTTCATAAAACGTGAAAGAATTTCATTAGGTTCAGTAAAGTTTTCTTTAATATCACGCATATTTATAATTAAACTGATTAAACGAAAAAAATCATGCTTTAAAGGCATACTTACACCCACGTTTTGTCGCTTGACGAATTCGTTTTTAACGATTTCGCGGTTTGCAGTTTTCTTTTGATGTTAGTTGCTTGCGAGTTAACACATCACTTGGTAACCTCTAAAATGAACGACGACATATTCCGCTTTCCAAAATCCCTTGAGGGGATGCAAACTAAGCTGACGGATGTGCGTCCCAACACAAACAACATCACAAGCTGTACCATTTCACTTCAGCTTTCGCACACACACATACAGCTTGGTTTTTTGTGTAATATTTTATTGAAACAATGAAACAGAACACCAAAAACTTCAACTTACAAATAATTGTAAACTTTTTCTTTCCGTTATAACGAAACCATTTGCATTATTAATTGTTTGCTTTTCAGTGAGTTTTTAACTAAGTCTATGTCTTCTTATTGTTTTTCTTAGTTCTTGGAAACMGTGCGACGGCAAATACTACTGAAGAAAGTCCAATCAATTGCTAAATGTGCTTCCGACACCGGCTTCACCCTTTGCTGGCATAACCAAAGGCTACAACTCGCAAACACACACAAACTTGCAAACATAAGGATACCGTATAACGGTAAACCAGCCAGAAACTACTCTCATACTATCATATTTGTTAATAAAATGGCTRTAAAAGGCAAGCTATCAAGCGCTAACGGCAGTTGGACGTCCTCCAGAGTCGGCACCACGTCCTACATATCGCGCATGGCTTGTTTCGCCTTTTGCCTGCTCTCCGCCCTGCCGTTGCCGTTCTTCACAACAGCTAATCGTAAGTTCAATCACTCAATAAGCGATTTATTATATTTGAAATATGTTTGTATCTTTATTTATTTACAACATGTTTGCCYGTGTGTAGCAGAAATTTGATTTATTCGATTTTACAACCGCTTTTTGGACTGTTTGTGTATGCAAATTGTGGCAGCCACAAAGTCCTTGTGCTCTTTCATACAAATATAGTAAGTACGAGAGCSATCCGATAAGGTAGTAGTCTTACTGCCCGTCGGCTTCCGTCAATAYCGCAAGAGACATACCTCATATACGACTACAGTCAAAAGTATCAATGCGGTCGCATGCCGGTGTCTGATGAGCTACAAACAGAAATCACGAGAACACTAMAGACAACTTAACAATAGCTCACGATATCGTATTGTCAAGCCGGTCTATTGGCCTTGATGACAAACCCCCACATTTTCAGTCTTCTGTGCAACACAGTGATTGAAACGGAGTGGAAAAGCGTTATCGGCGAAATGTGAGTAGGGGAACCCCACAAGGTGGGGTCCGGTGTGGTCCGCTTCTATGGATCCTGGTCGTTAATGGCCTGCTTAAAAAGCTTAAAGACCGTGGCTGCCTGGTGATTGCCTAGGCAGACGATGTAGCGCTAATGGTCAAAGGAAAGTTCATAAGTACCGTTTAAGAATTGATGCATGGGTATCTTAGCGTCGTAAAAAATCGTAAACGGTCTCGACATTAACCGAAATAAAACCGATATTAATACGGTGAAATATCTARGRCTCATCTTGYATAAGAAGCTTTCATAGAAKCCGAAAATAGAAGAGAAAGCAGAGACGGCATCGATTGCCTTGCACTGCTGTAGAGGAGTCATTGGCAAAAGGTGTCTAGGTTCCTAAAAGAACACATGTCTGAACTCTCGAAAATCTTCACTCACCTTGATTTCATACCGGATCACTTGAAGGGCATTGAACTTTTTCACGGATGGGTCAAAGCCTGTCTCTTATACACATCTAGATGTGTATAAGAGACAGCTCAGATATCATCACAAGCTTTGACTGCATACCGGATCATCTGGATCATAGAGTCGCCATATCAAACTCCGACGACTCCGACGGCTCCTTCTCTGTTGAAGGGCATTGAACTTTTTCACGGATGGGTCAAAGCTTGAGGGGAAGGTTGGTGGAGGGATTTACTGTCAGGAGCCCTCTAYCAACTCTAGTTTCAGACTTCCTGACCATTGCAGTAAGATAGCAGTAGATTTACTGTTCCAGAGTGCAGTCTCCATCAGAGACGTGACCATCCTCTCAGTTAGCAGAGCGGCGTTACTTGCTTTGAACTCTTTAACAATGCATTAAGTTCTKGTGAATCTAATGAATGCCTGACCTCGACATATAATATACAGCAACGAGGGTCTTTGTGATCAAACTGGTATGAGCGATAGGTCACACCGGAATCACAGGAAGCTATAAAGCTGATGAGCGAGCACCCTAGATYCGCTATCGGTAGAATGGGAGCGGATCGGTGCTCTCGTATACTCTTGTGTTCTACTACCAGATAGCTGTGCTTCGTGTATCTTGACCAGCGCTGGTCTACCATCGGTACGTGCGAACGCAAATCTTCAGCCATCCCACTGAGCTAACGGGAATAGATATTAACCGTTTTGCTAATTTATAATTTCGAACACAGGAGTTTTTATTTTCTATGTTCTCACAAAGGACTACCGAGAAGAGTACACRTGCGATCTATAATCTTACGACCTTGTGGTTCAAATCCTTCTGTTGATGCGATTAGATGGTACATTTGTGTCATATAGAAAAGATGCGCTTCCTTGGAACAACAGTTTGAGGTAGTAGTCTGGCAACTTGGGTTCAAAAATTCGAAAAAAACATTTTTGCTTAATTTGAAAGTACAATGCYTTGAGAATATACTKTGAAAATTTCAGACAGAAATTCVAAATATTTCGGGAGTTATAACGAGTTTCYTAGAGCGATTCGGWGTCMWACTTTTAAGGTCGGTTTTTTGAGGTTCCAACTTTGAGTGACAATATTAACACTAATAAAGTATTACATTTTTTCAAATAAAATCTTTTAATATTTCTTTCAATTTGTAAATAAAAACACTCTAAATATTCAAGATAGTTCATTTTTTTYCCMWWAAAAAAAACACCCTCCACAGAASTCRTGAAAATAGGCATAAGTTACCAGACTACTACCTTAATGCTTTTTCAAGAGGAAGAAAAATGGCCATCGCAGTTTTCTGATATTCACAAGGCGTAATCTACATCAGGGGTGCTCACGCCATAGCTCGAAGCCGAATTGAAGAAAAAAGTTTCATATRGCGAAAGAACCAGCTCACACCTTCATCGTCGACAGCATGGAAAAACSCCTCGCCGGGTAGAAATTTTAGTCGAGCACTAACAAATGAAATATTCATACAAGTAAAAAATTAGCATCCATGAGCCAACCGCAGTGAAGAGCATACCTAAATCAAACGTATCTAGTTTATTATGCYGACAATAAATCGCCATTTATTAAAAAATTCCGTGTTCCATTGACAATSTATGTATTTATTAGATCGCCCTCGTAGTTGGAATTTGTAAGTGTTTGCAGACATACGTACATATAAGTATATCCTTGCAAACCGTTCTACAAGCATAATTACATAATCCTTTCTTTTCGACTTGCCTCTATCTCTCTGTGTGGGTGTATATGTGGAGAACRGATTGTAATTTTTCAAATTTAACTCAACGTCTTCTAACAATTTCCACTGACCACATTGCTATTGGGCAACGGAGCGCGGAAAATTGYGTTTAGCTCGCACTTCGGCACAATTAAAATTGCTGCTTGGAGCATTCAATATAAAACGTATGTATGTATGTAGGTGTGTCTTATGCATATTGTATGCATACATATATTTATAGGTGTGCGTGTGTGTGTAGGTGTAGGCGTGTGCTCGCCCATAAACACGGTTACGCTTATGGCGCTGTCAACGAACTGTGCCAGGTTCTTCATGATGAAGCAATTAACTAAGTTAAATAAATGAGACTTCTCTCTTCCCTCTACTAAAGTAAACAAGTTAATTGCTTTTGTTGCTACGTTTTGTTACGTTGTAACCGTTTTTTTTTTTACCGCTTCCTTCACTGCMTTCTCTTATCAACATGCCGTGCATATGGATGTATATGTGCGCGTATATTCTGATTTTACTCCTATAACTGTGGCCATTAACGATGTTACGTTCGCTTTCTCTTGTATTCTTAAAGTATTTGTATTTGCGCTTGTTTGTTTGCACATCCATCGCTCTATGAATATACGAGTATATGTATGTATATATGTATGGTCACGTAAGCGTAGCAGATCGTTTGTGCCCAGGGGTGGCATGCACAGTGGTCGCAGACTCRCCATTTCCACTGAAAATTAATTGTGGGTGTGTTTGTAATAGGTATCACATGCATAGTGTGTGAACAAATATGTTTGCGTATATGTTTGTGTGATCACCTCAGTCCAGATGCCACGAGTATTTGCTGCTGATATGCTCTTAATATAAATTGATTAAATGAATAGTCAMATGGTGGCACATTTGTTGTCATTTCAGCTGCTTAATTATTATAAAACAAACTTGTGTAAGGTTCAAGAACTTACTTACATATATGTGGATATGCWTATGCAAAGAAATACAAGTTCCAAGCCAATTACAAGCGACTTATTTATTCATGTGACAAAGTTATTCCCAAAATGCGTTCAGTACTCTGACACTCGTAAATCCAAGTCCAAGACCAAATAAATCTAAACTGATTCTTCATGGACGTAATGTGCGTGTTTCGAAAAATTCGCCAAGCTTTTAAAATTTCAGTTTTGCGATGTGTTTTTTTTTTGGTCTTCATGCCACATATTCTCGGCTGGTGTAAGTTCCAACCACTCCCATCACAGTGATGCTAAGGTATTCAAACAGATTGCGAGTTATATTTGATCAAGGCGATTAGTGCGGAATATTCCACGAAACTATTGAAAAGTAATAAAATGCAATATTCTCACAAATAAAAAAGTTTCCATAGAAAAACTTAGTTTTGTTAGATCCATTTGTATACCATACATTGTATACCATACATCCTATTATATCCTATTCCGATTCAAAAAAAAAAAAATTTCGGAGATTCTAGTTATACTTTAAACAATAATTCAAGCGAAGCTTCGTGAAAATACTTGTATACTGTCAAATAAAAAAGTTTGCCATACAAGAAGTTGATTTTCATCGTTCAGCYCATAAGGCAACTATTAGCTATAGTGTTTCAATATTGCCAGTTCCGGCAAATAGCCAGCTTCTTAGGTAAAAAAGAAAGTGTGAATATTTCGACAGACAGACAGACATGCATGGCTAAATTGACTCAGCTCGTCACGCTGATTATATATTTATAGACTCMMCTTCTGGGTATTACAAATTTCGTGGCAAACTTAATATCCCCCATTCRGGGTTTAAGGGTYTAAGACGTTATACGAGTARTTTAAGTTGTRTGCACTATAATAAAGAAAATTGTCATTTAAAACAGGAATGCAAATATTTTCGAATTTTTCATCGATGCAGGGTCTGATATAAGTCTTGGCAGATTCTAAAATGTTGTTGTGACAATATGGTCTTTGCTTCAGAATACGAAAATAGTCGTCCAAAATTTACTTATGAATTAAACATCATCTTTTAATCCCTATAGTCATCCGGTTCTTCCTTAATTCTTTCAAAATCCATTCCTAGTTTCATAAAATTTGTAGGGACTACAATTGGTAAGGTTTTCATAGACATCAAAATTCTGACTTTCAACAATTCATAAAGTACGTTTGTTGTCGATGGCATATGTCAATAAAATTTCGCTCCCCTTTTCCAAAACTGAACACTATGTTAATATTTCTTTCAAGATAGATTTTCCAAGCACAAAGTAAGACATTAGCTTCGTACAGCTTAAGAACAGTTTTTGATCTCTTACTCGGAATATTTCTTATTTTGAAGAAACTGATAGTCATATGGTAGTTGATTTCCAGAAAAAAACCT